AATTATTCTTTAGACACTTCATTCAGATTTTTCCGTCATTTATTTAAAGGTACATTTATTTATTTTTTCATTTTAAATAAATTGTAACATTAAAAAAAATAATTCAGTACATTTGCTCCATGTAATTAAATTCAAATCAAAGTAACTTATTTGGGATAATTCAAATTTTTGGTTCAATATGATGTAACTGGTTCATATAATTTACGTGTAGCCGGATGTAAAGCATATTTTAATATTGAAATATATAATATCATTCTAAGGCAAAAATGCTGTTGTAGAAATCTTTATAGAGATCGAACGTGATAGATAAACAATATTTTTTTAAGAAATGGTTTTAACCACTACCAAAAAATTTAGAAAATTTTATATTACCTAAAATCTTTTAGATTTTCATCCATCTTTCCATAACTATTATATTTAGTGTTTAAACTTTTTAAGTGGGCAGCTAAGCTGAATATTAGCTTTGTTAAAGCTATACAGTCTCTCTGTTGAGATACAAAGCTACAAGTTGCTACATGGGTGGAAGAATCTTATAGCATAAATGAATAAATAAATTTCTTTTTTATAATTTTTTGAGAACGCATGCTTTATGGTATTTAAGATCAAAAGTCGAATCAGATCACGTTCTGTTTAGACTAGCGTCAGAGGGTCAAATTCGTAATTGAAAGGTCTAATTCGTAGCCCTACAAATGTGTTCTAATTTTTTTAATACAATTAGGAAAAAAAATTACAACTTGTATGTATGACAGTTTGTCACTTTTTATGAAATTTTTTGTTTTTAATAAGTCAATAACTTGGATTATTCTCAAATTAAAAAATTAAATGTTGATAGAACATTAGTGTGTGTTTACTACATTAAATTTCATCAAAACCTATGAAGTTTCGGTCCAAAAGTGATGGACATAACTTTGAAAACTCAAGTGAGTTCTGTTTTAAAAAAACAATTATCTATATAAATAATTGAATCTGCTGAAAATTGCAAAAAAATAGTGCAGTTTTAAACCATTTTCATTTCAATTTAAAAATTGAATTTTAAAAGCATTAACAACAAATAATATTATCGACCTGAAAATTCATCTTTTTCATGATTGACAATTTGTTTATGTGGCTGAATTCTCTTTTAAACTAAAATGTAACTCTTAACATTTCTTTTCAGATCCAAAAATTCTTTTTCAAAAATAATTTATCGATTATTTTCTTGTCATTTCAGTTCTTTTATTGCATTAAAAACTATAATTTGAACTTATTAGCTTCTTTAACTTAAAAAATTTCCAAACCCAACAAATTAGATAAAAAATATAATGTTCATGAACTTCGAATTATTGTAGGAAATACAGTTTAATGTTTTTTATATAGTTTTTGAGACGTTTATTGCGGTTTTACAGAAAACTGTAAGCCTGAAATAAAGCGTTTAAAAATTTTGTTTTATTATTTAAAAATCCATTTACAAAACAAGATTGTAATTGAAAAATTACGAATTAAAATTCATTAAATAACTTTTTGAACATATTATCACACAATAAAAAAATAAATGAAAAGTATCAAATGATCTCAGAAGAAGTTTAAAAATTTCCAAGTCGCTGGATGTTTCTGGTAATTCCATTCCATTTTTCCGTAAAAAAAGTTTTTTTGCAAACTTTAAAAAATCAGAAAAGAACATCAAAAATGCATTTGTTTTAAACAAAAAAATAACATAAAGTAATTGATTTACATTATTTTTATAAAGTTTTTGAGCGTTTATTTAAAATCTAAAGATTTAAAGAAATTTATAAAAAATATGAAGAGATTATCTCTAATTAAGCACTTAGTAATTTTTTTTCTCCTTTTAGGAGACTTACGAACCTATGTACACTGTCAAAAATCCCGTAACAAATTACGTTAAAAAGTACTTACACTCGGGTTGCATCATTCTTAAAATCCGCTTATTTTATCGAAAAATTCATTTATACCGTAATTTTCATATCAAAATTTATATTATTAGAGTGATTCAGAAATTTTATAATAAATATCACTGTTAAACTTAAGACATATTTAGATTTCTTGTTCTGCAAAATTTTATTTTAAAAATGGATTTTACGGTATAAAGAATTTTATACAGTGTACTTTTTTCAGAAGGATGAAGACTGGTGACCTAATTGCTTCATTTTAGAAATTTATTTATATGAATGAAGACAGTATTTTTTATTTCGCCGTATTTATATTTTTATTTTGATCTGTGGCGGCTAACACTAGAAAGTATGTGGTTGTTCTAAGCATAAAAGAATTTTTTTACATTTTTCTGAATTTTTTTTCTGAATAGTATTGTTGAAGAGGGCTATTATAATTAACATTTACGTTTTAAACCTTAAATATTTAAGAACTTCCCCTCGAATTGGAGCTTTATTGGTATTCACTCAAAAGACCATTTATTTGATTAAATTTACTTTTCAGTTTACTAAATAAGTGGTAATAAGAACTATAATTTTGAAAACCTGAATTCCCGGTAAAATGCTACCATATGAACGGAAAAACTACCAAATAAATGCTTTAAATGCCGCATATTTTGGTATTTTTAATCCGAATTATGCTTTTTTTTTACCAGAAATGTCATTACCATACAAGTACGAGAATTTTATCAGAATTTAGTTTCTCTAACCATGAGAAAAATGTTGTCAAAGTTCAAATAACTTTAGTAGACGAACCTTTTCCCTACCACCCCTATTATTTTGAACATTTTTTAGGTAACTAAAGCTATCAAAATTTATAGTTGCTTATTAAAAGGTAAAAAATAATTTAACTATAAGCAATAATATAAAATTTAATAATAAATTTATCTTATCCTTTGATCATTGTAATCATGTGATAATTTGATAACTAACAAAGTATTGCTTCTAAGAATTACGAATAGATCTTTCACAATATCAGATTACAAAAATTTAAATAATTATTCACTTAAACTTTTCGATTCAACACTCGTTAAAATTGGTTTATGGCATTTTGTAAGAGGAGACTTCTGTTATTGCCAGGTAAGTGAGTAATCCGAATCATTGACTTATTTCAGTTCGAGTTATAAAAGCTTCATATTGGTAATAATTCATCATAATTGAAGAGCCTCTTAAGAAAATTGATGATCATATTACTTCTACTTATGTCATTATCTATAAATTTTATTTTAGCGACAGTATAGTCTTCGTCTTGTTCAAGGGATCATTTTTGAAAAAGCTGCAATCGTATCTAAATGAAGATACTTTTTGATTTCAGGCCTTCAGCTGAATTCTGAATACTGGGGTTCAATATTTTACTCTTTACAAGGAGATGGTAGGCTGCTCATTTTCGCTGAAGTACGCTACTTTATTTTAAAAAGTGCTGCGTTCTTTCAGAATTAGAAAAGGCAAACGTTTAAACGTTTTGTAAAATGGAAACTTGATGGTGCGCATTTGATACAGATAGAACATCATATGTGTTGATATTTTAGATATATCAACACATTCTTTATAATCAAAAACACAAAGTTATAATCGAAACCACTAGAAATTAAACACGAATTTAAAAATTATTTAAGTTATCAAAGATAAATTTCAAATTATTATTGTGTAATTATCTAAATAATTTAAAATGTAATTTTTTTTAGTAAATATTATTAATATTTTATTTTTGAATAAAAATTTTAGTTTGCTTATTGAAATAGATACTTTTATATTAGATAAGTTTTAAATTTTTTATCTAATGTTGATTGTGGTGACAGAATGTTGTGAACTATGAAGCTCACATATCACAAAATAGTTAAAAAATAGTTCATTCTAATTATAATGCTAAACTGCACTTTTTAATTTAAATAAAACAAAATGTATCAGAAAAAAGCCTAACTTTTTGTTTTGCCTAACTTTTACTTCAGACATATTTTATTTCATTTTACTTGTAATGCTTTGAATATTCTTCATTTTATTAGTTTTGAGTTATGCGTTGAGTATATTCAGTCTACAAATAGTAAAATGGAAGATGTATTTATAAGGCAGAAATATGTAAAATGTATCTACTTAAAACCAAATCAAACAAATGTTCTTAATTTTATTTTACTTTAGTAACATCTTGAATAATGTTTATAAATTTATATTCGATTGTTATTTTTTATATTGAAAAGTGCGATTTCTTTTATTGTGAAACTTGTACTAGAAATAAATAAATTGCGTGTAAAACACAGACACTCAAAATTACATTTAGTACTGCCGGAAAGAATAACACTGGGAAGCAAATTATTTGTTGCATTTACACAAATACTCGATATTACCTAACCTGGGTGTGAGGATTCCAAATCTCAAATTAGGTTTGCTCTTAAAGCTACTGTTTTTTAACGAAATTTTTGGTCTATTTTTTGTCAAAATGTACAAGTTTAAAAACGTTGTACATAACAGGAGTCGCATAAATGCTGCGACAAACTTCTAGGGGGATTGGGGCACATCATTAGGATTAAAATTGCATAGGAATCTATGTCCGGATACGTCGTCGTACGCTGCTTGGGACGCTCCTTTATTTTGAACTGCTTCTTTGTGCGCTATTTCTGAATGTTCTTCTGAACAGGTCCTATTAGGGCATCCCCCTAGCCACGTAGCACGGCATTTCCTGGCATCGGTTTCAAACCAATTTTAATCCTGATGATGTGCCCTAACTTCCCTAGAAGTTTTTCACATCATTAATGCGACCCTCTGTTATAAATAAAGTTTTTAAACTTATACATTTCGACAAAAAACCGATTTAAAACATTATTTAAAAAAACTGTAGCTTGGGAAGACAAACCGATTGCAGATTTGAAATCAGTGAAGTTAAAATATCCAAGATCCGCTAAGAAAATCTCATGCAAAAAAAGAAAGTTTTTTTAGTGAAACTTTTGAATTTGATCTAGTTTTTTTCCCCATGACAGCGTCAGGTGTTCTTGAATAAAATAAAGAATCTAATACAAATCTTATTGCTATCACATACTAAGTTATGTTGCAAAAAAACACGTTAAATGCATTATAAATTACCTGTATACTTTAGCGCCAGTGATAGATAAATTCCAAAAATGTATACATTCTAACACATATTTATTCCAATAGATATTTTATTGATTTGATAACAATATAAAGTTCGAGAAAATAGTTTTTAATTCACCAATGAGAGACCTAACTAAATGCTTTCATTTTTATTCGCAAAACTTCCTGCTTCATTAGAGGAAACAGCACTTGACGGAACTAGATATATCCGTTCAGAAGATGAGTTATGAACTGAAAGAGTCACCCAAAAAATTATTCGATTTCAGAGAAAAGAGTTAAGATTAGTTGATGACGGTTTCTTTATGTTTATTGTAAATGTTTATTACGTTTATTTATGTTTACAAAAAAAGGAAAACTGAATACGCACGTAATCTTGTTTTGGGAACACTTAAAATCAGTTTATAAAAAATACATATTAAAAATTATTTAGCAAATAAGTAAATTTTTTTGAAAAATAAATAAATAAGTAAATAAATAAAATAAAATGAAGATAAAATTGAGGGGACTTTTATAGCATTGTGGATCTATAGCTAAATACGAGAGCAACTAATGTCAAGGTTTCCTAAAAGAGTATGTAATCGATAGAAATGATTTCAACTTTTTCTTTTTGTAGAATTTTGGAATTGAGAGTCATCATTGGAGTGTAGGGATGTACGGATGATCGGGGCAAATATCTTGATCTAGGAAAAAAATATTCTTAAATTTGTTAGGAAATTACATCTTACTCCTTAGAAATTCTTGTTGCTTTAGTCAAATATTTACACGATGAAAAGTTTTTTCTATTAGAAATAATAGTCTTTAAAAAGTATTAATGATCTACGTAGTCGTCGATTATATGCCCTATTTAACTGGGAAGTTTTGGGCATTGTTATTACATTTCAAAATAGGGTAGCGTTATAATATTTGCTGCACATACATTTCAATAAAATCAGATTTTATGTTTGTTTATTTATAAGTATTTTTTTTTTATCAATTATGATATATAAATGCGTGAATAATAAATTATGCTTTATTTTAAAGCTGTTTTTTTATTTATTTGAAACAACGATTTGTCATTTCAGGATCAGTAAATTAATATTCTATACTGGTTTAAAGAAAAATTAGCATAAGCCATGCTTCATAATTGTTTATTAATATAACGAGATTCAGCCAATTAAATTAACTACAATAAATTTTTCAACATAGCTAAAAAAAATAATCAAACATTTACAAATGCTTTTCTTGATATATTATATTTTTGGCAACAACTTATGATACATCTTTAAACATAAACAGACAAAATAATTTTTGTGTCAGCTAATATTCTATACAGCTTTATATTTCATTAGTTGAAGTGCATAACAAGTTAAATTTGCAAAATAAAAAAAAAATCTGTACAAACAATTTTACACATTCTTGATGCAGTTCTATATACATTTATAACTAATATTGCACTAATGTTTTCTAGTTTTACATTTTGGCCGAGCAAATCTACAAACAAATTGAAAACACACAATTGTAGGTTATTTTCACTTTCTAACAAAGCTTGGAAGATCAGTGAACGGCTTTTCTGCAGTGACATTGACACTGTGCTATGTGGCGCCATCTGTTTTATAATATCAAGACTAAATAAAATGAAAAAGAAGCCTAAGAACTCTGGTTTGGGACCATTAGTAAATGAGCCCCTATTTATTTACAAATGGCCGTCGTCCAGAGATTCTTTCCTTATTCTAGTAACCTTATTCTTAGAATGCACAAAAATAGAATCTTCAAATGATTTAAAAATGAATAAGAGCAAAAAGAAAAGCTTCCATGCGTATCCAGTGGCAGTAAATCTTGTTCCAAAGATTAAATTTTCAACTTATTTGATATAAATAATTGTATTCATACGTGCACAAAGAAAAGTTGAACCGTAAGAAAACGTGGGCAAAAATGTTGTCTTTTATAAAATAAAAGGATAATTTTCAACTTAACAAAACACGATTCATTTTTTTTTCATGATTTCTTAATTGATAATTAAAATTTATTTGATGCAAGCGTTTGACAATTTTTTTTCTTCATATAACTACGCATCGTTTCGTCAAATGTTGTGTGAAAATTAATCTTTAAAGAAAGTTGTCTAAAATTTAAAGATATTTTGCTAATCTCTTACTTTAGTGACTAATAATTATTATGGGATAAAATGAATGTTTCATTTCCGATATTGTTTCAATAAAATAGACTTTTGCTTAATCTATAATGAAGTAATAAAACTTTAAATTAAATTTTGAATTGAATATTAAATAAAATTTGTTTAAAAATTACATAATGTTGAATTATTCTTTAACAAACTCTTCTAATACTTATATACTGGGTTTTTATAAAAATTTTTAAACATTTAAGTGAATTATATTTTAAAGTTCAAAAATTTTTTAGGAGTTAAACTCGGCTAAAATTTTTAAAATTAATTATTTTATGTGAGATAAATATGAATACACAAACATAAAAGAATTATTTCAATACGTATTAAAGCACATATGATTTATTAAAATCCAACTCTAATTCTTATTTTAAAAATTGAAATGTTCATAATAATAATTTATTTTCATTTCTTAAATACAAAAATTATTGTAGTTTACGCACAAAATGTATTAAAATTTAAAAGTTATTAAAATTTAATTTAACCAATTCAGAATAAAGATATTTTAAATCTATCAAACATAATCTATAGCGGAAAAAGTTTGATTCATAAAACGTTCTAACTTATTTATTAATTTTCGCTCCTTTAATTTAGCTAATATTTTAATCTAAAATGAGAGATTATAGTAACCACGAAAAGCCTAACATAATCATGAAATGTTTTCTTTATGCAATGAATGTTTCATAGGAAATTATTTAAATGCTATGTAAAAAAAAAAAGAAAAAAAAAAAGAAAGCAACAACAACTTATATCTTGTAAAATTGATGATTGTATAAAGTTGAATATTGAATAAATTTAAATAAATATAAGCTGTAATATTATATAAAAATGTAAAAGAGAAAAAAATTATAGAATTGTGTAAATATTCCTTTCTTTCGAAAATTTCAAATAAATGCAGTTTATCAACAAGTGAATAAAGTTTCTGATTTAAATTTAGGGTATTTATAAATTTGTTGCAATATCAGTGTAAAATATCAGTGAACTATAACTTCGTTTTTAAAATTTAATGCTACCAAACAGATAAATTAGATTGAAATTTATGAATTGCTGGGATTACTACAATAAATATAAATTATTACCTTAAATTTTAGTTTCAATTCATCTTAATTAGATTGAAATAAGTAAAGATCGGATTGAAGAAAAATGTTTCGAGCTGTATAATATTAATTGTTTCAAAAGTAATTAAGTAGGTACTTTGAATAAAAGAAATTTCTAAATTCGTACGTTCAATCGTTTGTTATAAAATATATGTAGAGCTTCATTAAAAAGTAGTAAAAGTAATTATTCTAAAATTCAGAATTTGATCTTATTAAAATGAATTATTGTAAGCATAATTTATTAAATGGAGATTTTGTTTGAACCGATCGTAATTAGATTTAAATGAGATAAAGTTGGGTTTAAGAAAAAAAGTCTAAAAGTTGTTGAATATTTTTTTTTTGCATTAAAAAACTAATCGTTTCTAAAGTTCAAACATTTTTTCGTTTAAATGTAACTCAAATTATTAGTTTGTTACAAAATATTTAATCCCTCATTAAGTTTAATGGTTACAATATAGGTTAAAATGGTTAGAAGGAGATATTTGGTTATGTATTCTGCTCCGAATTTTTTCAAATATAATGTGATAATTAATAAAGGAAATTATGAATTTAATTTTAATAACAAATTATTTTTAATTTTAAAAAAATATCTAAATAAACATATTATTGAATATTCTTAATTTAAATAGCGTTTAATTTTGTTTTTCGTGAAAATACGTTTAAATGTAATTCAAATTAAAGGTTTGTTTTAAAATATTTAATGCTTCATTAAATTAAATAGTTAGATTCAGTAGTTTCAATAATTATAAAAACGATGTGTGTAAGCTGCTCTTATGTTCTTTAAAACTAATGTGTCATGTGTAAAACTTTGCAGTTAATTTCAATAACAAAATACTTTTAATTTTAAAGCTGAATAAATAAACTTACTGAGATTTTTAAAACGAAACTTTATAAATTTTTATAACACAACGTGGTTATAACTGTTGCGACAGGTTAACTTTACAGTTAATTTACTTATTTATAATTACAATAAATAACTATAGATAACTTCAATATTACAGATTTGAATTTTATGTGTCCTATTATAGAACGTTTTTGAACTTAGTAGCTTTTAATTTTGATTTTTTCTCTCGATGAAATACGTTTAAATGTAATTTACATTTTAGGTTTTTTACAAAATGTTTAATTTTTCAGTAAATATAATGGTTACATTGAGTAGTAATATTAATTTTGAAAGCGATATTTGGATATGCAATCTGCTTCGAATTTTTTAAAACTATTCTAGTAATTAATTAAGAAAACTATGCACTTCATTTCAATTACAAGTTGTTTTTAATTTTAAATCTATCTAAATAAACGTACCGAAATTTTTAAAATCGATAAAAATTAAATTTTTCTAACATACTGAGGTTTTAATTGTGTATATAACTTCAAAATAATAGATTTGCATTTAATGCGTGACATACCGAACATTTTAAAATCATTCAGTTTCGTGTCGTGAGAAAGTAGATTACAAAATGTTTTTCCTCGCAAAACACATTTTTGTGCACATATCAATACTTTGATTTACATTGCGCGATAAATAACACACCTGCTCCAATCTATACATGCAGCATACCAAGTGATTTGCTATATCCTACTTTCAGACTTTATAATTAACGATGGCAATAACACATATGCCTAAAGACATTCACCTAGAACAATTGGGCTTGAGTGTCGGAAAAAGCTAACAGACGCCATCTTGTGGAATAATCCTAGCAAGTGGCTCTAACTTTCCCCTATTGATACGGAACACAGAACTTTGTTTATGTATACGGTACTCGTATTGATCGAACTTGGAAACTAATCTACATGTTTTCAATAACAATATTAACACAAAATACAGCGTTGACTGTCCTTGATTATAGGGAAGCCCAAGAATTAATGGAATTAAGTGTGAGACGACACTCTCTACAAACTCTTGCAGTTGATTCCTATTTAACTTTGATCGTTCGCATTGTCAAAATCAGTTTGTAGACCATGATAGTGTATTGGCAGTCGTAAAACAATTTTAATGATATGATTAGTATTGCCTTTTTCAAAAGCTGTGCTCTCAAAGTACCAGAGAAAAAAAATACTTTAAAATAGTCAGTTCCTCTTCGCAACTTCCTTATTTACAATCCTTACAATTTGAAAAACGTTCCAGTGAAATGACACAGTTTGCCCACATTTTGTGCAAAAAGTGTGAAAAGTTTTGTCTGTTTTTGGTTGGTGTCATCATGTTTGTAACAGCTTTCATCATTTACTTAGTTTGAAGCTGTTTTTATTTTAATAGTGATTGCTTCGTAATTATGTTGTCTTCTGGTTAATATAAGTGCGATAATTAACTAGTTCAGGGATCTGTCATTGAGGGATCTGAGTTAAGGGTTCTTGAGTCATTGAGTGAAAAAGGAAATTAAAACTGTAAAGGAAAGGGAGACGTGCAGCACTTATGAAGCATGATCATCACAGTGAGGCTAAACTGTCTTTATCAGTTTCCGTAGTTTGTTCTCTCGATGGCGTCATGTGCACACTTAATTTAACTTGCTCCACAGTTGTTCCTAAAATGAGCGAAAGAATATGACAGTTATTAATTATTTTAAATTTATTTAATTAGGTAAACAACAGATTTAGGCAAGTAGTATTATTAAAAAAACTGTAACCAAAAGATTAATATCCCTACACAGTAAGAAATTTCGGATCAAAAGTACCGGCACTTTAGGTGTATTATCCGTAAAATTCCTTTTTATCATAAAATATTATATCGTAATTTTTATAGTAATATTTATTTGATTACAGTGATTCGGTGATTTTAGGGTATTTATTACAGTAAAAATAACTGTATATCAGATTTTTTTGCTTCGTTACAAGTTCCGGTAAAAAATGGATTTTACGGCCAAAAGTGACGGTACCCTGTGTGCTGGTACTTTTTGCCGTGTTTTGATCCGAAATTTTTTGCAGTGTGCTATTCAAGTCAGTATTTTGTTTCACGAATTAAATGGGTTATCAAATATATTGTCATAAAAACAATACAATGCATTTAAGTCGAATTAGTGATTTGAATCAAGAATATATTCACGGAATTAATCAATCATCAAAGTAAGTTGAATGTAATCAATCAGTTCTCTTGGGTTATTTATAAGAGTGATTTGAGTAAAGTATAAAAATGGAAGGAATAAAATGAACCGATTTACATTTGAATCAATGATTTGAAGTTGTTTTATGATATATACAACAAATCAGTATTTCGAATTAAGCAATGGGAATTGCGATTTGCATAAAATACATGCACTCAAATGAATAAATTTAAGTCAACGGATTAAGAAAATAATAAACAAGAGTATTTTAATAATCTTTTAAATGTTTTTAAACAATGCGTGACAATGTTATTAAAATTTTATGAGTTTATTATGTATTTTGGAAAATTTTAAGGAGTCATATTATAATAGAATCGCATATTGAAATTTTAAAAATTGTTTGAGTTAGACCTGATAATTTTTTAAAATTATTTCGTTTGATTTTTATAAATACATGTTCGATGCATGTTTAAAGGATAAATTGCATTTCTCGGAAAATGTACTCACTGACTTGTTAGCCTTTGCGTACGCTGAAGTTGTCTCAGTTTCCTCTGGCAATCAACTAATTATGTTGCGAAGTTTTTATTCTTTACTTTTTCGTTAGTGATTTATCAGATCCTAATAAAGTTTTTTTCGTTTTCTATGTTTAAATAGCTACATCTATAGGGCAAATTTCTTCAAGTTCAGTTTTAAATGATTAAATTATTTTTTTTTAACCGGGGAATATGGAGCACCTCTTACATTTATTTTCAATTATACACATTGTGGTTAACATTTAAAAAAAATATATTCTGACAACTTTATTCGTTTAAAATTGTCTATGCTATTGTTAATTATCGATTGTGAGAATGGAGGTATTTGTGGATTTTTGTTCTTAATAGTAGGGGGTGTGTGTATTTCCAGAAATTATTTCCATTTCCGGGAAAAGATTCGTTTGTATTTATTTATATTTTTTCAAACTTTACATCATAATTTTTCAATCTATTTTTTCAATACAATTGTTTGTTTCTGATGGCTAAAAGACTTTCGGTGCTTTTTGATGTATACATTGAGGTGATGGCTTTTGGGTGCACTAAGCGTCGAAGTATAAATTTATTTCTTGAAATTAAGATGTTTAAACTCCCTAAAGATCCACCACGCCAAATTCAATGGAGTAATGCATTAATGAGGAAAGATTGGACTCCAACAGATCACAGTGTAATATGCTGTAAACACTTTAATACATTTAAAATGTATTATCTATTAAATAGGATGAGTTCCAAACGGAGTTCCAAGTGAGACATCAATGACAAAGAAATGCAAAGAACTTTATAAAACTTTCCTATTTCTAAATCGTATGACTTATTTTTATGTTCGCTGAGATACCAGCAGTATTAACATCTTTTTCCATAGTTATGTCTAATTAATTTTCAAAGTTATGTCTAATTAATTCCTCCGACAACAGTCAAGCTTTGCTATGACGTCAGAGGAGGACAGCAAGACTTCCGGTAACATTTCTTTGTTTTTTAGGATAGATGTTGAATAAGTAAAGTTATCGCTGAAAATCAATAACAAAAACTTGTTCTTCAGCCTACCCATTTTTTAATATATATATTTAGTTAGAAGCCAATGGTGTTCCGACTTAGTCATATTTTCATTATTAACAATATCATTTACCAGGGAATGAAGATAAAGCAAATCATTCCTAACAAAGTTGATTCCAGGCCAAATCACGCTGGACGCCGCCCAAATAGTAAAAATAACTGCCTTGTTTAGTAGCAAAAGATAGCTCGTATTTTTCATGCATAATAGAATAGAAAAGATAAAATATTAGGCAACAATGACTAGTTTTTGTAAAGGATACTTTCAGCGCAATAGCTTATGACGGGGAGTTTACTCTGGATGTTATTTTTAAATGTAAAAACGGAGAAAAAGGAATTAAACAATAAGAAAAATTTCGTGCTTATTTTAGTGAAGAAATCGTTCACAAAACAAGTTTTTTTAAACGATGTTAATTTTAATATTTAAATATTTCATGGCAGTAATAGTTCAATAATGACGAGAGAATTATTTTGAATTAAAAAAAAATAACTTTTTAGAAAGTGAAGTTTTATTAAACAATTAATGATTCAAGAATGTTACAATCAGTAAATGTAAATTGTGATCACTTCTTTGATTTTTAATGCAAATACATTTAAAAATAAAAACTTAAAATAAAGAAGTCACAGTTATTTCTCCTACATTTATAGAGTAAATAATTATAAACAATTTTTTCCGATTTTCTAACCATATTCGGTATGATAAACAACATAATCCTGAAAACAAGAAGGTAGTCGTATTTATAAAAGGTTTCTCTTTCTAAACATTCCGTATTTTAAAAGCCAGTATTCTTGGTTTTGACGTTAAGAAGTAAGTCGTGATGTTATATATATTAACACAAAATCATGAATCAAACCAAATTAACACAAAAATCGTGATGAAAAATGTTAAAGGAAAAATCGGAGTTGTCATTTAACTTAAAAAAATAAATCTCAAACTGAAACGAAAAGAATACAAAAAAAAAATTCAGTAAATGAAAAATAAACGATGCCAAGTGGAAATGGATTACTCTAAAAGATCTTCTGTTATTTTCTGAAATTTAATGCCAGATATTGAAGATTGGAGTTGATATCTACAAGTAAAATGTAGCATGGTCTAATTTTGTGCTGCAGAATGTTTGAAACGCGACTCAAATTTCAACTCTGCGATTTAAATATTTAACAATTCATAATATTATATATCCAACAAATAAACTCAAAAATATTTTATTGCATTTTTAAAAATATACTTAAGAATGAGCAAAAAGTTCCCAAACGTATATTAAATATAAGAATAAAAAGTAGAAAAACAAAATTACTTCATTATTCAATAAAAAAAAAGAATTTTTCTATAATTGTGGAGACATTTTTAAAAAAAATAGATTGGCTTTGAAGGAAAAAAAAGGTTTGAATAGAACTATATTTTCCACTTGCAAATACATCACTATATTTTTTAAGAGCAAATATATCACTATAATTGTCCAATGCACTTGGTACCAATAATTATGCTTTTATTTGGCACACGCAAAAGTGAACTATCTGAATTTATTTACGAAAATGAAAAAAAATTTGATGAATTTAAATATCTATATAATTGACTAAACATAACTTTAATTAAGTATATTTAAGAGCAAATAATGCAGTAAAACTTTAAAAAAAAAAAGGTTGCCTTTTTTGATAGTTTATACTTTTAAGATTATTGCATCAATCCTTATATAGTTTGTCTAAATTATGTAAGAAAAAGAATTATTGGAGCTTTGACTATAAATAATTGAAATTGCTGGTACAATTTGAAATAAATGTAGGCACGGCTGCTGAAGAATATACTCAAAATGAAGATGATCGCAGAATTTCGGCTGTTACTCTAAAAACATGTGTGGTCTCACATGTGGATACATCGATAAAAAAAAGGGCAAGACTAGCACTTAAGACTGCTGAAAAGGAAGAAACATCTTATGGACCCGGTATTGATGCATTATAGTTATTTACATGAATCACAAAACTTTAAACGCAATTTATTCGAAACTATATTCTTTTACTTTCTGTATCTCTAACTAGTACAACTTCTCTAACTAGTAGTATTAACTTCAAATTTTGACACTATGTTCGCAATAAGTACAGTGTTTCGTTGCCTGCAGGGATTTTTTTAAATCGGGTTGATTGCTGGGTTAAATTTTTTTTTTAAGAATCCCACGTATAAGAAAAACTACATATAATGTAGTATATAAAGAATCAAAACGGAATCAAATTTGGATTTTTTCCCCAACTCATGAGTACAATAAGTTATGGATAATTTAAAAATAATTTATGCACATTGTATTGTGTAAGCGCTAATTGGTTTGAATATTTGTTTTTGTAACATGATAAAAGGAAGTTTAAATGTGTACAATAAGATTAAAAAAATATTAAGTTAAGTTAATCCCAATCGTTGCAAAATTTGCAGGCTTGTATTATGTACTTCTCCCTTAATGAGAATTAAGTGAAGTAGTATGATGGAAAATAAACTATATTGATGAACAAAAAATATTAATATGATTAGCTTTTCTTGTCAGGAAGTCATATTTGTTAAATTATATGCTGACGAATCCCTGAAAAAATAATAGAAATGACTGTAATATTTATTGCAAATGGCAATGGTTCGGAGAAAAGAAAATGTTAAAGTTATTACGCATTTCGCTCGTATTCACGCAGATAGCATAAAAAAAACTTGAAAGTAATATCATACAATACACTTCGTTTTTTGTAAATGATGTAACTTTAATCATTTAAACAAGTACGAAAAGCTCGTTTTCTGAGGAATGTTATCAAATTGAGCAAATTAGAGACAAAAAAGTCGCATGTTCTCGTCGATGGTATCATCTAGAATTACCAATAAAATGTAACTCAATTGTAATGTGAGATTTAAAAGCAATCAGCAAGGAGGACATTTTTCTCGAAAGGAAAAAAAAAATTAAATTGGCGTTGCTTAGAAAGACGAAAGAATGAGTTTCATTTGCTCTCTTAAAGGCAGTGTCTTTTGAATGTCCTGGAAAAGTAAGCGTAAATTGGAAACTTTTATTATGTCGCTTTGTTCTTAAAGATGGTTCAAATAATGATCGAGAGAATACAATTCTTTAAATTCTGGTAAGACAAGAGTTTGGTTGCCTTTAAGACAAAATTAAATCGACTTTCTCGTTTGCAGTGGTCATGGGAGGCAGAAGTAGAAAACAAAGGATATCCATTTCCTCATCCTAACTCTTTTGTCATTAAAGTTGTAATAGTCTCAAAGAAAAGAGATAAAATTGAAAACAAGAAAAAAAGATTAAGTAAAGTAAAAAAGAAAAAGAAAATCTGGCAAACTCCAGGGAAGCGTAACAGAGGAGAAAAATAAACTGAAATCTGTATTTGCTCATTAAAAGTGTTAGGCGTGTACCATGAAGTATTTAATGGGTACATCTGAGAGAAAATAAACACGGGCTTTTATCTCGTTTAAAACCCTGCTAAATAAACTTTTAGGCGTTTTTCCGCCATTTCCTTTTCTTCGCTTCATGGCATTTTGAATGAGGCAAAACTGGAAGGGGAAAAAATCTGGAAAAAAAAGTATTTTTTTTCTCTTATTCGATGAATCCAGATTATTTTTTCCTCTTCCTGGAAATATTCTCGGCACCAGCACGATAATCATGCGAAATATGCCGCTTTTTTAATCATGCATATAATGAGTCCAATGAATAATTTTTTTTATGAAGCACTGATTATCGATAGCAACGGTCTGTAGGAAGTGGGAAAAACCGCGATTACAAATGAGGAGGATTTATGCTGTGTTTTTATCAATGTAGTCTTTTTAAATATGCAAGGGAAACCGCAAAAAAAAGTGCTTGTACCTTAATGAAATCAAATAAAAAGATTTTTCCTTCATATTTTTTGACGTCTCTCGCTTTTGATTCTAGAAGGAGAATATTTTTTTTAAGAAAAAAAAACTTTTGATAGTTTTTTCCGTTTATAGTTTGATAACTCTTATCTGTTTTCAAAGTTTGAAATCTTCCAATCAATTAAGTTTCTCTTTTAGATAATTTATTTCATTAAACATGTGCTAAAAGCAGGTTTTTTTAATGTTAGTTTAATTTATAATACAATGAAATCACGTAACTTGTGATGAAAAAAAAACTGTAGATTCGTTAAAGGGAAAAAAGATATTTTTGAAGCATTATTATTAATATACTTTTATATATTTAAAAATTGATCCTAAGAACATTAAATGATAACAAAATCTATGGGAAAACATCGACAATGGCTTGCACAATACATTCCACACAAAAAACCATTAAAAAATAATAAAACCTTAAATTACGAACTACCCATAATTTCACAATGTTGCAAATATAGAATCAAGCTGTAAAATAAGCAACATTACCCATAGAATAACCATTACTACGTAAAAGATCCTTAGTAAAAGAATGGGTACCGTCTGTAGAATGAAGTTCGAGGTAAACAATTCGCCAAAAGTTCGAGAGTAACGGCATCATTATTGTATTGTGGTCAGTATTACGCACAGGCCGCCTTTATTCTTAAACACAAGCTGCTATCCATCGATCTCATGCTAGATGGACTTTGATGCCATAGAGGGGCCAGAAACACGGTAAATTCTGCCAGATTTCATTAGGTTTATTCACACTTATTTTCTCAATACGAGTATATTGCAGACAGAGCATGCAAGGCCTAGTGCAAAAGCAGTGCTCTCTTTTCGAAATCTAATTGAAAAAATTCACCTTGTATGATTATATTTGTGATGTTGAGTATCCGATTAGACAAAAACGTAAAGGTATTGCCAAAAATATTGAACCTGTGCAACTTGAGAGTGATTTGAAAAAAAAAAAAAATGCTTTTTGATCGAGAACGCTGTACAGAAACATAATTGCTAATTTGTTTGGACAGAAATTAGATGATTTTAAGAAGATTATGTAACCTACCACAAATCTTCAGACATTTTCCTTTTATTGTGTGAGAGAGAGAGGCATGTATACTATCGTATGATGGCCAGATATACCAATGCAAAAGGGCCTTCAAGATCAGACCATACAACTACATTGAACATTTTTTTCTTGCATTTAAGCGATGTTATTAGTTTAGACCATTAAACCACAAACATTTAATGACATTAAAGCAAACAATATCCGTGTAGTTTTTTGTCATTGAATAAATGCAGATTGATGGGAAAAAATTGCCAAAAATAGAAGACTCAAAATTGGATTTTTGAAAAAATATCCTTAGTTGATCATTTGGACGAAATCATTTTTAAACAAAAATGCCGTAAGCCAATATATAAAATAAAATAAGAAAACACATTTATTATTTTATGTTTTTTCAATCCTACAATATATATTACAAACATTAGTGTTTTGACTAAAATATTTTACTTTTTACTTTTTTTTTTACGGAATCGCAAAAATTATTACTTTTTCAAAGTAATTTTTCTTGAAAAAATAATAATTATTGTTATTTCTAAAGGGGCCCAAACTCATCAAAGAATTGCCATTATAGTTCACATAGGGTCAATGTAAAAAATGTCCATTGAACGGGAAGAGGGTTTTATCTGTCCAATATACAAGAAAGGAGACAGGCTGGACTGTAGGAGTATAGACTGTAGAGGAATTACTCTCTTTAACACATCATACAAGATATTGACAAACATCCCGATAGAACGATTTGTTACTTGTATTAGCAGAGTACTTAGAAAATACCAGTGTGGAATTCAGAAAGGCCGATCAGCGACAGATCAAATACGCAGCGTTAGACAAATACTTCAGAAGACCAGAGAATATAACATAGATACCGTTCATCTCTTTCTTGACTTTAGAACAGCTTACGATAGTATCAATAGAGAGAAATTGTATGAGGCAATGTAAGAGTTGGGTATCCCTAAGAAATTGGTTAACCTCACAAAAATGACACTTAATAGAGTAAAGTTGGAATCAGAAGTATCAGATGCTTTCTATACTGAAACAGGATGACTCTCTGTCATGCCATCTGTTTAATATAGTACTAGAGAAGGCAATTAGAGAATCTGTATACAAACGCAGAACACAATTTCTATTAAATTACTGCTAGCATTTGCGGATGATATCGATATCGGGGAAGGAGCTAGAGCAGCTATAGTAGAGGCTTTCTGTGAACTGGAGGCAGCAGCAAAAAAAAAACATAGGATTGTCAGTAAACGAAGAAAAAGTTAAATTCATGGCAATAACGAACAGAATCACAAATCTACAACAGCTGAAAATTAATGAACATGAGTTTGAACAAGTAGCTCAGTTAAAATATTTAGGCAAATAGTAAATAATAATATTGACATAATAATTGAAGTTAAAAATCGAACGGACATGGCTAACAGGATGGAGAAGCCTTTTTAAATCTAAATACCTAAGTTGTGAAAAAAAAATACAGTTGTACACAACACTACAGAAACCAATAGTTTTATATGGTCACGAAGGTATGAAAATAAGCAAAGATGAAGAAAAACTGATGACTTTGGAGAGAAAAATACAAGGAACAATTTTCGGTGCAGGAAGAGAAAATGGAACCTGGAGAATTTGTTACAGCCATGAATTACAATCAAAATACAAAGAACATAGCATAGTAAAAATGATCAAGGTTTCTCAAATAAGGTGAATAGGACGTGCATTTCGATATAGCGATGAAAATCCTGTTAATAAAATAACCCTCCTAACACCAGAGGGAAAAAGAAAAAGAGGAGGACCTGGAGCAAGATGGTTAGATGGTCGAGAAGTGGTTAAAGGACTTGGAGTTAACAAAAGGAGAAATATAGCATCGAATAGATTTAGAGGGGGTAAACTGACTAAGGCGGCCTTGGCTGGTAACTCCATGCCTATGTGAAAGTGCCTAAGAAGAAGAATACTTTCTCTTGTGCTATCCTAACATTGCAATACCGTTCCGTTAGTGTTCCGTTAATGTAACTTTGTTAAAATAAAATATAGTAATGTTATCATGAAATATAGTTGTTTTTTGAAAATTATTTTGGTATAACTATTATTTAATTTGCCCTAAAAAAACTTTTTTTTTTTACTTATGGAAACATTAAAAATATCATTTTTGATACATCTTAATTTAATTACATCGTTCAAGGAAATTTCACTTTATGAATTTTATTACTTTTTCACATTTATAGAGAAAATGAAACTAGTTATTGAAATAGATGAAATCAGAAACGGATACAGCATTTAAAAATCCATTTTTATAATTGATATTTGCTCGTATTACCTTTTCCGTTTCCTTGGTTGACGGAAGTGCCACAGGTGCTACTAGTGGGAGCCCTTTTGTAAGTGGCACTATTCATGGTGAGTTTGCGTACATTCTTGTCAGGGTGGAAGATGATTATATAGACTTTTGGAGAGAATAGACAAAAAAGTGCCACGTACGCACTAAGGGACGTTGATACGCATAAAGTGGTTATTTGCACCTGTACAGAAAGAAAAAATAATCAATTAGAAATTATCTAGATAATTACTGAGTATATTGTAAAAAATTCTGGATCAAATTGCAGTAAAAATTAAAAAACAAATCAGTACTCGTTATGTGGTACTTTGTAAAGTAAAATCCCTTTAACCGGAACATGTTGTAGAACAAAAATGCGGTAAAATATATTTCTCGGTAAAAATGGATTTTATGATAAAATTGAATCTTACTGTAAAATCCATTTAAAAATGGATTTTATGATAAAATTGAATCTTACGGTAAAATCCATTTTACCGTAAACATGAATTTTACGGTAGAAATGGATTTTACTGATGCACTTAAATTGTCGGTACTGAACACAGTAATTTGATACAATATGATTTGGTTTTGCAGTACATATTAATGGGAAATAATTCATAGTGTTCTCTAATAGTTTCATTTTATACACTGTTAGAAATTTCTCGGTTAAATAACAATATATTTAATTGTTATCTTACCATATTGAAATAGAACAGATAAATGATCATGCATAAAATGGCATTCAAACTGTTAACTTTGAGACAAACCGTTTATTATCTGCTTTCATCTAATACGGCTAAACAACCCGAATTTTATCGCGCCAGCTAGGTGCGATAAAGGACAGGGGCTCAAGTCCCGACGTTGACACTACAATATTTCCACATTTCTCTTTAACACGTGAAGAATTTCTAGTATCCTGCACGTTTTTTTTGCAATAATTTCAGAAAGATTCAATAAAATTAAACAAAATGTTTGTAGCAATTTAAAATTAATTACAGAATTACTGATTTAAAATTGGAAGAAAAAAATTGCTAAAAACTGCGCAAGATATGACTTATTAAAATATTTATTTTTGTACTGTGCATGCTTGGGAAAAAATGTAAACATTGGCAAATGAAGAAGAAAGTTCGATTTGAATATCTTAAAAATGTAAAAAGTTTCAATCAATTTTCCAAGTGGTTTTTATACTTTTTAAAAGAAAGCTCAAAAGGATCAGAGGTTTTCAACAAATTTCATTTTGCAGTATTGCAAACTGCACTACCATACAACTAACATTTTGAGCTTTCTTTTTCATTAGTTTACGAATACGATTCATTACAAAATTATGAATTTTGTTTACATGTTTTCAGTGCATGCGCAGTATATAAGAGCAACTTTAAATAGTCCTATCTTGCACTTTTTTTAAATAATTTTTGTTCAAATTTTAAAAAAATTAATTTTGTAATAAATTTTGTATTTAATTTTAAATTGCTTCAAACATTTCGTTTAATTTTATTAAACTTTTTTTAAACGTTTTATAGCAACAAAACGTAAGACAAAAAAATTAGTATTTTATGAAAATATTTATATCTCCACAAATATTTAGGTTAGGTTTACAAAATTTTATACAGTTATTGCATATAATAACCAAAGTAATCGATACAAGTAACAAGCTTACTACTTGATTTTCTGGAATAGGGTGTTCAAAAATACTTGTTTTCTTTTGTAGTTTATTGTTGGTCTCTTTGAAAACTCTCTGAAAATCTCTGAAAACTTTAAGCTTTATTGCTAAGGATGAAAAATTGCACGAACTAACCCCTCTAAAGTTTAAAAATGATTCTCAAAGTATTTCTTGAGAAATTTAAAAAAAAATATTAATAACTGAAAGTATCTTTTCCAATATTGTTGGGTAAAGTGCATTCCGTCGAAAAAAAAGACAAACGAGAAGCTCGTGGGGCGCGTTCCAATACCATAATTTCTTGAAAATATACTGATAAATCCTTTTCCAAAAGCTTATTCAAGAGAAAACTTGTTCATAAGGTCAGGTAAAATATCGGATACTCGATACATTTAGGAAAATTTTTTTAGGGTTGAGGGGCACTTTCATGGATTAAATCTAGCTAATTCAAAGATTAAAGAATAATTTTTAAATACAAAGCAGCAGAAAAAATATCAAGAACATGTGATGAAGAGCATAAGTATTGTTTCTAAAATATTAGAAGACTGTTTTTTCTTCTTCAAAGATGCTTTCTGATAAGGGTAACGATTTTCTATAAACATTTTAGCCGTCAAAGTATAAGGTAAATTAAAAAACAGAAAATGCGTTTGATGCTGTTGATTTTTTGATTTCTATGTAGGTTTTCGAAAATCATTAGAGAAAATTATAATTTTATTAATTTTTCCTGAAGGTAAAAAAATAAATATTGTATTAATTTTATTAGTAAAGTTGGAATCAGAAGTATCAGATGCTTTCTATACTGAAACAGGATGACTCTCTGTCATGCCATCTGTTTAATATAGTACTAGAGAAGGCAATTAGAGAATCTGTATACAAACGCAGAACACAATTNCAAAAAATTCAGACTTAGAAGATTATAAAATAATCAGAGAAGATCATTCAAATGAAGATAATAACGACTTTACTTTGGAAACAGAAGAAGTAAGTCTAAAATGTGAGACACGCAGTGCGTGCAAAAATTGTGTTATTTGTTGCTACAAGATGTTACAGAGATTCAATTTATTGACCAATTCTTACAATTTAATTAGTCTAGCATTAAAATTTTTACTAACATTATCAAAAAGTCAAGTGGCTTGTGAAAGATCATTCTCCACATAAAAAGTAGTTAAAAATCGAATGAGGAGTACTTCATCTTCGGGTAATAGAATGCTCAATGGCAATAGAAAAAGATCGATTAATGAAATTAGATAGCTACGACATAATCGATAAAGTGGCAGAAAATAGTGAGCCTCTTCAAAAGTTAAATTAAATTTTAATTTAAGGACTTTTGAAGAAGCATTAAATATATTTTAAATTTTTTTTTTACATAAATCATTCATGTATGTATAGTATAATAAATATTTTTATTTACTCCTCATCTTTCACCTTTGTGATTTTATCAACCTATGTTTCCTCATAAGAACCATGTATTTTAAACTGAAATATATTCTATAATAAGCAATTTTTATCTACTTTCTTACTTCGATAAATTAACTTACGTTCATGAGAATTTATAAGTAAAAAATGCCTAAAAATTATACATTAGGAGCTGCGTACGCTTCGCGCACACGGTGTTTATTTGAAGTAGAGGGCCGATATCTCTAAAATGCCCGGACCGATTTTAAATCCCAGTCCGGGCCTGTCTGAAGGAACACTTCTTTCCAAGTTAACACTAGATCGAGCGTTCATATATAATTTAAAGTGTGTATGAAAGCTCTAAACACCGAAAATGAAAATTTTTAATATCGAGATCTCTAGTCTTTACACCACATTATAAACTCAGAGTTTGGTGTGCCTTGATTTCGTATGTAATCGTTTACAAACTATGGCGAGTTGGAAAGTGTTAGTGGTCTTCAATATTGCTTTCATCTGCACAAAGTACCCCGTTAAAAATATTTATGTCTTTAATTGTGTAATAAACAACTAAGAACATCTATTGTAAAAAAATGAAGTATAGAAAAAATTATCATTGGCCCCCATTAGTTTCTCTAGCATTTGAATTATTTGCTAAAAGTGATTTAAAATAATTTTAAAGCAGAATTCGAACGAGCAGAAATGTTCAAACTATTACATGAAGTTAATTTCTCATATGCATACACTGCAATACAATAACGGAAGAGACACTTTCAGTTTTCGACATTTTTTAAAATTTCTGAGGAAATAATTAAAGGTTTATTTTGTAGTTTTAGAGGTGTTTAGTTCAGGCAATTTTTCATTCTTAGCATAAAGTTTAAAGCTCTCAAAGGTTTAAGAGACGAACAATAAATTACAAAAGAAAACAAGTATTTTTGAACATTTAAGTAATCTGTGTTTTTTGATGAACTATTATATAAAGTATTTTTAGTGTAAATTTTACCAAACATAGATTTAAATTCTTAAATTTATTTGGATAATTTTAGCATTCATCTCTTAATTCGTTGTTTAAAGGAGAAACTTACTTTCAAAAGCCCTTTTTATTGCTTAGGTAAAATGTTTTGTCTTTTTAATTATGAATGATAAACATTAATTTATCAAAATATTACACATATTATCATAAATTATACCAGAATTGTGAGCAAAGTTTGAAAAATATGAAATAATATGCTTTTGAAAAAAAAAGTAAAATAATTGTTGCATAAAAATGCACAGCGAAATATTATGATAGATATAAAGAACCATAGAATGGACAACATTTTCAGTTTTTAATGATTTGCTTAAATGTCTTTTATCTGAATTTTTAGGATGTTTTTATTTATAAATTATGCGGAAAAGTGCAATGCGTTTGGATGACAATTTCGAAAGCACTCTGCTTCGTTAATGAATCATATTTTGTATTTGTTTCCAGATAATCATTTATTCTAAAATATAAATGTAAATTCTATGATAAATGAAACCTTAAGAGTCATATTTTTATTTTCGCATCATTATTTTCCAGAATATTTATGAAAAAAACATTGGAAACTTGAATGATAAAAAACTCCATAAATTTCGTAAATAAAATAATAAAACAAAAATGCGAATATTGAATTTGATGCTCTTAAGTAATAATTACATATTAAAAATTGAAAAATGAGAATCGAAGGAAAATTGGAAGGGTTAACGCGGTTAAAAAGAAAAAGATTGTTTTAATAAAAAAATATTATTTATGCACTTTTTTTGGACTCAATCTCAATACACTACAAACCACTACATTATCTGAAAACAAAACTTCATTTTAAATTAATTAAAGTGAATATTGATTCATCTTGTTCAAAACGAAAAACTTATTCGTATTTGCTATCTTAAGCATGGTACGTTTTTTTACTGCGCAAAACATGTATTTTTGCAAAACAATTCGAACAAGAATGTTATCTTGGAAAGATAACAATTTGTCTCTAAGATTTTTTTTGCTTATTTGGCTGATAACTTTTGGCTGATATAAGTTACAGATCATGTTGTATTTATTTTTTTCATAGTAAAATTCAAACATTTAAATTTTTTTGCAGAATATAATTTTGTGTAAATTATTGTTTCAGTTAGCAGAATTAAGG